GCGTGTCGATTCGTTCAGACAAGGCTCGGCCATCAGCTCCAAGAGCTTTCTTGTTGTCGTTTGGATTTTTTCCTCCACCGGGCCGACACGCACTCATCGCGACGGCTATTTTCGAAATACCGTTCTGCTCTTCAAAATTTCGGGAAGCACCGTCATCGGACATACTCAAGCGGAAGACGTTGAAGATGCCTCCGATACTTAGCGACGAAAAACGCCATCGGCTCGAAATCGAGGCGTATTCAAGAATGTCATACCGTGTTTCATTTTTCTCTTCTCGACGCCCTATCGGCAAGGATCAGCTCGAAGCAAAGTTCGAATTCCATAGCCTTCTCCCGTGAATTGACCCATAGTTTATGCATGTCTTTGACGTTGCCGAAGTTCGCCGTCGAGTTGTGATTCGACGGCCTCCAAAGGAGGCGAATCACCTTCGGGGATCGCCCATCCGAGGGCTATGTCGTCGCAGGCACAGCGAGCGCCGGCGTGCGTTCTTTCTAGCAGGGCTCGGTTTCCGATTGTTGCTGATCAAGTTTAGGTTAAAGTTCAAAACTGAGAACAATTGAGAATGGTACTGGCGCCGGTGAAAAAAAGACGTCCAGCGCTTCCAGAAAACAAGGACATACCTCCCACTGATGTCAGTCCGTTAGGCGAACCGCCAAGGAAAATGACGGTTGGAGTAGGAATCGAGGAGACCATGCGGCCGGGCCGGTCGACTACGGCTCGAGCGACTTGAACGCTGCGTTTCTTATTGTTCTTTCAATGCACAGCTCCAATGCATGATCCATCGGGTCACCATAAAGCTATCCGTTCGAAGACGCTTCCCCCAGAGACTGATTCCGTCAATAATTTCATTTCCGTCAGAAGCAAGGAGTCTCGCACTAAATTGCTGCTCACCCAGGGTTGGAAGTTGAGGAGCCATGTCAGGTCCAAATTATTCAGGTTCTGGGACCTTCAGTCCCCATACCTTGAGAACGTTTCGTACAAACAACGGATTCTCTCGGAGAACAATCAGAGGGCGATCAAGAAAGTTTTCTCGCATCGAAGGTTTATTTGGCTGCTCGTATAGTTTTATAGCAGAGAGTTCCTAATTTAATTTGATTCAAAAAGACACGCACTCATTCGTTGTACAACGGGACTTCCTGGAAGCGGACGGAGGAACACCCATGAATTTTACAGAAATGTTTCGCCAGGTTTGCTTCCGTGTAACGTTCCGCAAATTATTACGCTCTTCCGAGATGATGTCTCCGGCCGCGAAACTGTAACAACGAAACTACCAACAACCGCAGCCCGCTCATGCAATGTCATATCTGCTAACAGAAGAGCTCTTGGCACACAACGACGATTACCACGAGACGCTCGTTGACCTTGCGCCTAGGCAAACTCAAGTCGGGAGGGTTGGTCGCAAGGGGTCTCTTTTGCAGAGTCGTTTTGCTACATCTATCCTTCATCTGAACGCTTGTCATATTCGTTCTTCGGTGCTTTTTGACCGAGAAAAGCGTTTTACGACGAACCGCCCGCCGTTAAACTGGCGTTTTTTTTTCGAGTTTTTCTTTCTCTGTTACATTTTCTTTTTCTGCTTGTTGTCCAGCTCTCGGCGAAAAAAATATCAGAACCAAAGCGCGAATGGCGGGGTAGCGCTCGGTCTCTGGCTGAAAAAGACCAAAAGTTTCCCAGGCTCAAAGTTTCCGAGATTCTGGTTTTGAGCCAGATTTTCGACCTTTCGATCGCAATTAACGCCATCCATTCGATGCTCGCGCGCGCGTACTTGTGCGCGTCAGGGCGTATGTTGGGGCGTTTTCCAGTGGCTAGCCTTGTCGATTTCTCATACAGTGCGAAAGTCGCGTTAATTTTGGATCGCATCATTAATTAACTACTTCAGTGGTGACAAGAAATCCGTGTCCGTCGTCGTCGTCGCAGTCGCCGCCGTCGTCGGGGAGTTTATCAATACTGATCAATGGGGTTTCTTCAGTGTTCGACGAATTATTACGCCGCAGCTGCTGCTACTACTGATAGCCTTCACTGATAACGATCGGGGAACCCGGCAAACCTTGTTTGATGAGAATTTGTCGCAGTGAAAATGTTGAAACGCTATGATTCATTCCCTCCACCCAGTCGTATATCAGCCAGCCGTTGAAAGTTAATCTCGGGCCAGAACATATTTCACCCTTTTGCCAAAATTAGATTTGAGTACCACGGTGCGGCTGGTTCAAATTTCAAACAGTCGTCGGATGGATTCGATCCGTGAGAACCCGCTCTGATAATTGCACCGGACAATTTTCGTTCGAATCGAGCACTTCACAGCCTGCTCTCATCGGAGCCGAGTGTTTCTCTATTTTCTACATCCCAACTTAATAGCGGGCTTCTCGACGCGAAGTTATCGGGCATCGATCGGCGTGAGGAGCCAAATCGAGCCACGGCTCGACGTTGCGGTGGGCGGCGTAGTCGTCATAGCCGCTTGATTCCTTTTCCGTCCGAGTATTCCAGTTAGGCTAGCGCCAGAAAACGTCGATCGATCAAACGCACGAATCGTGTCCGGTGGCAGAACCAGAAGCAAATCGTTACACGATCGATGGTTAAGATAGTTTCCAATGCCTCGAACCATTTCGCGTAGCCTGCTATATTTAACACGTAAACGTCGTCGGGGTTTGGAAATAGTGTGCACGTGATTTTTCTGACCACGAATGCCTTGCTGGGCTTGGCTCCTTCGTGTGCTTCGTCTCCCGATGCGCGTTTTCTCCCGTCCGAATGCGTTGCATCGGATCCCCGGTTAAGATCGGCAGACGCTCGATCGGCAGAACACGCGCCCGCTGGGTCTTGTCCAGGCCGCTGGGTCTTTCCGTTCGCTCCAGTCCAGTCTGACAATTCTTCCTCCCATCCTGCCCCGCTTGTCAGAAAACCAGAGACCTACCTACTAAAAGCCAGCCGGACATTGCGGACATCGACGATTCTTGTGAGTTTCTGTCGCGCTTTCTGCCGCCGACTGATGCAATGCGACCGGTTGTGCGGCCGTTGAGCTCTCTGGACAGGAGCTTTTTTCCCTCGAAAGCTAAACGATGTCCCGGCGTCGTCGTCCACCTAAGGCGGCCGCTAACGCCGGTACTGGGTTGCCTTCAACTTGACGGTGGTCACTCGCTTGACTTTCTGATTGATTCTGACTGACCATTCGGGAGACGGGAACTCGTTCCCGAGTTTTGTCGAAGTTGTTGTCTGAATTCCGCTTTGTTATATACTTGTCGCTACTGGCGGGGAGTCGCGCTTGGTCCACGCCGGAACTCGAAGGGAAAAATCGGATAAATTGCTTTTTAGCGACCAATCACCGAGCCCACTTCGATGGGCAGGGAAAAACTTCTCGTCAAACGATTCCGGCCAGCTGGGATCGAGGACGCTAATGCTCGTACGCTTTCGAGCGTATCCCGACACTGATCACGACACGCGGAGATTGGTGGCGTCCAGCGAGGGGAGAGCTCGTTGCGAAGGTGAAATCGACGAATGGAAACGATAATGTCGCGGAGCTCATGTGATCGAGCGCCGAACGGGGAACCTTGTCACTCGAAAGCGATGCGAGTCAAGGCCAGAGACTCGAAGACCACGGTACGGATAATTATCTGCGGGACGTGTGACCGTCTTGACACGCCGGAACGTGAAGTCCGGAGAACTACAAAGGCGTTACGACATCGACATGTGGTCTTTGTAGACGAGCAGCTGCTCTTCATTAGAACTACGATTCGAACAATGATGATTCGTCATAACGCGTGTGCCAATCGGTGGTGGCGTTGTGGGGGCAAAGATTCGGAAAAAAGCCGAAAACCGAAATAAATTCGAAATGATCAGTATCACAAACAGAGTGGTCATCCGAAAAGAGGCGTTTCCTTGACTCCTTCTCTCTGTTCTTATCTAAGAGCAACACGGCTGCAGCATCGCTCGGGATGACGACGTCGACGAGCGTAATTAGCGTAAGCGACATCAAACGTTTTCGGATCCCGCCCCAGTGGTTAACGTCTTGATATTTCGTAACGCCTGCGGGTTTCGCTGAGCCGCCACAGTACGAATGAACATCGGTTGGAACTCGCGTACGCGCGCTCGAGCGGCCTGTTCTATCGGTATTCGTAATGTGGAGCCGTACAGACGACCGCGGCAACGCTACTCACGAACTGAGGAATGACATCGATCGTGGCAGCCAATACATATCAGTGACACGGGGCTGACTGAATGCCAATCGGTCAATTTCTTCTTCAGACCGTGCTGCCCACGCCTGATTACGGCTCGCGACCGTTGTTGGAATGTTCGCGAGACAATCGGCATGCCGAATAAGCAGCGCGTTCGAGCCCTCGTAGATCTGAGACCGACCTTCTTGTGGAGCGCCGAATTTGTATGGACCACGATAGCGATATTCAAAGGATCCCTGAGGCGTCCGGACGTGTTTCCTCCGCTGAGTCTCGGACGCGGAGTCCTCCCGGTAAATCGCCGGAGAGCCAGAGCTAAAGCTCGAGGAGACAACATTCTTGGCTCGCGCATGATCTCGTCGGATCAGACAAATCCTTAATGAACAGGTCCCAATCAGCCCGGTGGGAATGTTGTGTCTTCATCTGATAGTGTTACTTTTAGATACTATTCTGTTTCCATTCGACTAGGAGCCTTGGAAGCATTCCAACTTATCGTTGACCATCGCTTCGAACTGCTAATCAGTCTAATAACCGACCGCATTTATCGTCGAGGCACTGTCGCACTCGTCATACGACGTCGAGAAGGATCGAGCCAGGGGACAGCCGAGGGATACCAGTCTATTAGTTCGGATAGCGTCCAGGAACTTCCGTTCTGTTGAGTCGCCTGAGATAGATAGTTTAGTCCGCTGCCTCGGCATTCTGTTATCGGCTCTACTTTGGCTACGAACACTTTCTGGCTTCTTGGATTAATCGCTTCGTCAATTATTTGATTGACTATTTCTGGAAGCGTGCGTATATTTCTAGTTAAATGCATCCCACGCTGCGAGGAAGGTCAGACGTATGGAATACCGCACTGATTGTACGGTCAACTTGGCTCGCGTCCGATAGCCGGACGGTCGAGCTCCGACGTACGAGGAACGCCATTCGCTTCTCCAAACTCGTTGAATTGTCAGTAGGAACATATGAACTTGACGCTGCACAGAATCTTCCACCCGTGAACTTCGGACAAGTTCCCATCCTTTCTCTCCGGAAATTGCAGACGTCGAAAACGTGCCTCTGTCCAGGAGGTCGGCTGGCGCTCGCGGAACCCCACCAGAAATGAATCGATGAGTTTTCTCCAGCAAGGCCGAAACTTGTGCAGAAGAACGACATTCGAGCGTTCGCGTGACCCGGACGTTTCGTTTTGCGTCCTTAGCATTGTTGTCTTGTCAACTGGCACCGTCTCACTCCGGACTCGCAAGAAATGGCTCATAGTGATTTTGACGATGCGGACAGCAACCTTTTTTTATCATATGCTCCATACTGAATGTCGCGCTCGAGAGAACTATTCACTGCTGGGATACATTTCCCTACCTCGCCGGAAAAGTATTCTGCGGACGTCCATCGAGGCTCTGTCCAAAGGCCTAGAAATTCCCCCTGACTGCGAAATTTGACGTGTTCGCTCCCGTCCCGACTAATCGACTCCCTATCTCTCATTGCAGTAGAAGATGAAGTTGTATGCCATAGGCGTCGTGCTCGCACTGAGCTGTTACGCTCAGAGCCAACACATTTCCCCTGAAGAGCTGGATCAGGCTTTCATACAAGCGGCCTCCGACCTGCAGGAGAATGAACGGCTCCAACGGAGGGCTGTGGAACTTGGGAAGGTTGTCAGCGACCAAGAGGCTTCGGCCTCCAGGAAACATCAGCGGACAACGTACGCCGCCAAGAAGGCGAAAGCGACGATCGATCAGGGATTCCTCTTCAACGCTGCCACTCTCGCTCTCTTGAAGAGGTAAGAATGGAATATTTGATTGAGTGAGAAGTATCCAGGATTGACCGTGCGAACTGACTAGTTATCGTCGGTTTTCGAGGTCAGCTGAGAAGGATAACCAGTGCTGAACTGATAGGGCCAACAGCTTCATTCGATGATAATTGGCGGAACCTTCCTTCTTGGACTGGATGTAGTTTCTGTCTTATACGGACTCAGACGATATCCCCGCTCTTTGGTTTTCTGAAAAGGGGTCTTTCGGAAAGTTCCCCCTTTTTCCATTGATAATGAGAGCGAGTTTATCTCTCCGATTACGTTCCTTTCCTGATTCCGCGAATTGCCCTATTGGATCAAGCAGAGAATTTATGCTGGGATCGCAGACGGTATACGAGCGCCGATCGTGATTATTTCGCCCGGATTGCAAGACGGAGCGACGTCATATCTTGCAATGGTCAAATTTTTACAAGTCGCTATTAAGCCCCGTCGATGGAGCCGCCTTCCGGACCGACGAGCAGGCGGGCAGACCCGAAGGCGCCCTTCACGGAATTATTCTCCCGAATAATGACTTTCCGCTCTATTTATCTCATCGAACACGATTGAAACCGTCATCGGACTCTGCAGCTATTGCTCTCATTGGGAATCAGATGCGCTTCCTTTTCCCGGATGGATTTGCTTGCTCTTGCCGTGAATCTTCTCCGGCGAAATTCCGAGCTACCGTTCTATTGTTCAGCCCGTGCTTCCCAGTCCGTGGCAGAGTTGACCGGGCATTTCACGTTCGGGGACGTCCCGTATTGTTTCAAATCTTCCAATGCCCGAGAGAACGGTCCTCGATATCTTCGTCATCAGCATCGATCGAGTTATATTTCTGCCATATCGTGTCGCGGAAGCGGAAAATGCTCGGTTTTCGTCAACGTGTGTTCGTCAACAACTCCCAACTTCGGAATTTCTGATTCATTTTCGACGGAATTGAATCGAGCCAACTCGATAATCGTGATCTTGAAGTTTCATCAATAAAAGCGGGCGAGCGTTGAACAAATGGAAAATGGTACCGCCTCCCCGTTCGCCGGTGGAGCCGGGCAAGGCCAATGTGATTTTTTTGCGAGATGGCCATCGGGTCTTCAACGAACCGCCGATGATTAATTGGTTCGCAGTATTTTTTCCTTCCTTAATGATAAATTTCGCATTGAGCCTCTCGACGCTTCAAGCTCACATATGAGTTCGCGTCCAAACGCCTCATGCCGGAAAGCTTTCCCTTTATTATTCAAGTATGACTCTTGCTTTTCTCGTCCTCTCGCTCCCCACCGCTCCACGTCGAAGTCCGCGCGCGTCCCGCACACAGTGTCCAAGGACGTGACACCACCACTGACGTAATAATTAAAACACAACCCCACACTTGGCGCCACTCAGAAACCAAGCAACGCTTTAAGCCGCGCCCACCACCCCTTTGGTTTGTGACGGGACTTGAGAAACGTCACTCGCACGTAATCACCCTCACTGTGTCTGCAAAGAGAAATGGTCAGGTCAAGAAATTCCCTATCTAGTCCTGGGAGTTTTCTGATGATAAAGATGTGCCGCAATGAGTATTCAGAAAAAAAAAACGGCGTCACTGTGGGCTTTCTCCCGTGAGAAACTACGATTGATGACAGACATTGCACAAATCGCTGAGGCTCTGAGGCTTCGCGGTCTTCAAAATCTCCCGCGGAAAAAGGTCATAGGCGTTCCAAGACTGATACTCAGATGGTAAGCACCGAAGACCCACCTCCTCGGACGAGGTTCCAATATACTTGTCTTGCATCGGAGCGTGGATCGAATTATGAATTCGGTTCTCAAGAAATAAGGCAAGTATTTACTATCGTCCATCATGAGCGCTTGCTGAGAGGGTAGGAATTCCGGCAGCTTGAACAACCAAGGCTTCTTGAGATCCGGCAGGGAACTATAGAATGGTGGCACGCTCAGTGGGAAGCTCTCAGTCGGCTCGAACAGGAAGCGCTTACCTGCGACCGGGGAGAAATCAATTGCTGATCGAGGCAACGAAAAAAACGTTCACCAGAGAATCAGGGATGGTCTCGGAAAACGAAACTGGACCACTAGATGAGGAATTTCGGGAGTTCGAATTCTATTGATTGGCGAAGGACACTCCAAAGGAGGGAAATGAGCGAACCAGACGATATCCGGAGATTCGACTCGCTGAAGTAGGCGGAGTGATCGGATAACGGCTTGGCTCGCTCAGACAGGCTTCCTAAGTCGGTGGAAATCGAAGGCCGAACTCTTGCTTGACTGAAATGGAAACCGGTCTATCCCTCGTGCGCCGAGTTTCCACCAGAACAGTGTGCGTTGACGAGTCAGCTTAAAAGTTTGGTCAAGCTTACCGCCGCTCCGATGGAGGCAGTCGGCTGCGACCACCGCGGGAGTGTCTGCTGTATTGGGTGCTGCCGATGAATTCCGCATCTGAAGACCGGCGCCTCCGATCTGGTGTTTGCCGAACCGGATCACTATCATCGGACATTGTTCAATGCGAAGACGGTCTGCTCCGGACACTCGAGCGTTCAAATCAGTCCGATGATTTCTGCCGCCGACGGCTCTTGTTGGAGCAACAATTTCTCTTCCGGTTTCTTGATTTTATATCTGGACGAAGTTTCGAGCTGAAGCGACGAGTATTCAAGTCCCTTCGCGAGTCCGGTCTCTCTCGGCGGGACGCACAGAACTCGTAGATGCCACGGAGTCCTTACGTCCTGAGCTTTGCCTTTCCACGCTTCCTAACATCGTTCGCTTCGGATCTTTGAATATTCTTCCGTTTCGAAACCACGAGCTGATGACGACCACGATAGCAATCAGAAGCGTAGCGATTTGAATTGTTGGCTAATGAACGGGGGAGCTTGACAGCGCGGAAAGCTCGCAGTGGAAATCCTCCGCGAGAAGTCGACACGAAAAATTATTTGAGGTTTGCTTACGCAAGCCTTGTCTCACTGCTTGAGTGGCGGGCCTCATCACATCGCTAAATCAGCGAACGATTAAAATATGCGGACGGAGTCTGCCCGGCATGGGCCCCGTGGACCGTGGAGCGCTGCGTTCCGGCTACCGTATACCCCTACTGTCTTCTTTTGCGAGAACGAGGTCTTTCGCTCGATTTTGTATTCCGGCTCCGATGATAAGCCCGCGGTCCAAAATTGGAGATCAGACTGTCTTCAATCTAAGGTGACTGTCTTCAGATTCGGCTGAAACTATCATGACCAATATATACTTTACGAGATAGCCGATTCGGTAGCCGATACTCCTACAAGAATTGCGATTACGATAGGATGCTCCTATATTTTTGTAGCGACCTGAGAACCAGTATCTCATTGAAAAGACTTCGAGCGGTAAAAGTCTTCCGACGACGGACATTGAACGGTCCAAGATCAACGGATTAGGCTAAGCGCAACGTCACGCACCTCATGGGAAATTGAACATTTAGCGAGATGAATACTTGCGCGATAGATAGGCAAAATGGAAAACAGATTCAAATGGGCGGTGGTTTTTCATGTTTTCTTTTGGTTGTTGTTTCTCCTCCCGCTCGCGGTCATCGATGTTGCGCTCGCCAGCGAGAGATGCAAATAGCACGCGGCCATGTTCAAGGCCACGGGAAGACAATCAACGCGGATTCCGTGCCCAATGAGTGGCAAAAGCCGTGACCGACTGTTCGGTTCGACAAGAGCGCTCTGGATCGATCCCCATGTCTAGATGGAAATCTGTGCTCCAAGAATTCAGTCGAATGCTTCGCTTGCTGGCTCAGGGATGAAAATCTTCCGGAGGACGAATTCCGACTGGGCTGCGCGCCGAAAGCAGAAAAGAGAAATACATACATACAGTACAAACTCGATTATATCACACTCGATTATATCACCCTAAAAATTTCAAAACTCGATTATATCACCCTCCTGATTTTCTCGCCACGACTCGATTATATCACCTAAAAAAGCATCCGAATGCATTTTTCCGAATGTCCCATGCCTGAAATTCTCAAAAACTCGATTATATCACCTTCACGACTCATACCAATGTCCCCGTATATCAAACCTGGCATCGGCTTGATGCCGGATGCAAACATCCATCCAATCAAGAGAAACTCTTTTCGATAACGATAGAGGAAACGTGGATTCGAGGCACTAGTTCGTGCCCATTGCAAAAGCAGCGGCCCGCAATCGGGCAAGTCGAATTAAATCGGATAAATCGCAGTTTTGTTGCGATTCGAGCCACTGCAAGGCGGTCTGCAAAGCGTCCGCTGCTTGCGCAGCGGTCGGGACATCCGGCGGAGGAGAATCGTCCTCTTCTTCCTCTTGTGAGTCTTCCTGCGTATCGGCTCCTGACTCCCCGTCGTCTGCGTAGACTGCTCGAACCTCCTCGACGATTTCGTCATCGGTGAGATAGTGATGCCCAGTATCAGTGGAGTCGCAAGCCAACCACTCCAATATGTTCTCCGGATCGCAATCCATGAATCCAGGGACCTTACGGAGGGATCCAGGGACCTGCTTTTTCGACGCCTCGAGCTCTTCCAGTGACGGATCTCTATCGGGATTCTTGAACCGACTTGCTCTAGCCGATCGGTGGAGCAGAATCAACCAAAAAATATTCCATGACTCGAGAGATCACTGAACAGATTGAGATCATGGCTGGTTCTATCGGTGTGATATAATCGAGAGGACGGTAGAGGGTGATATAATCGAGTCTCCATTTGTTTCTATGGAGTTTGTATCCGGAGGGTGATATAATCGAGTCGAAAATGTGATATAATCGATTTCCCATGGAAGTCTATGGAAACTCGATTATATCACACTCTCGATTATATCACCATTTTTGGACACGAATTAGGTGATATAATCGAGTTTGTACTGTATATATATCACAGATGCTTGTCACGCGTCAATCTTACAGTTGTCCGGTGAACAAGAGAAGCTTTTAGATGGAGCTGTCCGACGAGGGCTTTCACCACGAAGCCTCTCCGAACAAAGCCCGTATCCATCCGATCGTTCGCTCTGTTCCTTAAAGGCTCATTCCATCGGTGAAACGGCTCCTCTCGGCAATGCGCCGGGACTTTCGACAAAAGCCCTGTCGATGACAAGACCTCGAAAGCCTACACTTCGCCAGTGTCGAATCAACGAGCAGGTGGACAACGCATAGCATTGTAAATCTTCAATCAACGGGCGATAAACCCAGTGATTGATCATTGAAGCAGTGGCTAGACTGCGGTCTCAACGCTTGACTGCTTTGTATGGAACAAGTTTCTGTCACAACGGCGCTATCCCCCAAGCGCCGCAGGCGGTGCGGCGCCTGACCCGACAGTTTCCCTTGACGATGGGTTCATGGAATTAGGCGAAGACTGAGAGTCTTGGACAGTTAGAGATACGTTTGAAGCTCGACTTAGACAATCATCATTAAGCTCCGAACGGCGCGACTCGAGTCAGAGATGGTATTAGGCCGAAGAAAGACCCCGTCCATTCTACATACTATCAAGAAGAGGAATCTAAGCTGGTGACCTTTCTTGCAGCGGTCGTTTCGCCCGTGAGGACGTGGGGCGATTGAGTTCACTCTCTCTGGAACATTCTGTGCTAGCGAAGCAGGCTCAGGACAAGTGCAACTCTGAACAAGACATCGCGATCTGCCAAAAACAGGCCTTCCAGACTCACGATGGTACCTGCAACAACCTTCTCAACCCGCAGTGGGGTCAGGCCAACGGCTGCCAGCTGCGACTTCTGGAACCTGCCTATGAAGACGGAGTCGGTCTTCCCCGAAGGTTCATGAGCAACGGAGACGAACTTCCCAACCCTCGATTTGTTTCGGAGAAGCTCCTGGAGGTCCTCGGAGAGGAGGAGTTGGACCCTCAGTACACCCATCAGGTCCAGGGTTTCGGACAGTTCCTTGATCACGACATGATCCTCACGCCGACTTCTCGTATTGGAGGTAAGAAGAGTTTCCTGCGGGGGGAGGAAAACCTGCGTTCGACACGATCAGAAACAGGATTCCATCGACCGAGTTATTGATTCTCGTATCGGGCTCGATCCCGTGGAAAATCTGTGCGGGTGATTCTCCCACAGAACCGGAAAAACGTGAATTCTAAGAATGATGTTTCCTCATTTCCCAGTCAACGGCTCCATGCCGCAATGTTGCCCGTTCGATACCAACCAGATTTCGCAGTGCTTCCCGATCTACGTCCGACCCGGCGACCGTTTCTTCAGCAAAGTTCAGACGGAGTGCATGAACGTCGTACGATCCGGACCCTGTCCCACCTGCACGTTGGGCTACCGTCAGCAGAGCAATGCCGAAACGTCTTTCATCGATCTGTCGAACATTTACGGGTTGAACGACACGCAGAACAGACAACTGAGGACGCTCGACGGTAGCGGAGAGCTCACGTCCCAGGGCATTGGCCTCCTGCCCCCCACCCAAACCCCCCAGAACGACGGTTGCTCGGATCCGGACACCAACCGACTCTGCTTCCGTGGAGGAGATATCCGTGTCAACCAGCAGATCGGTATCGTGTCGCAGACGACGACGTGGCATCGCCAGCACAATTACATCGCTCGCCGTCTCCGTGCCAGACACCCCCACTGGGACGACGACACGCTCTACTTCACCGCGAGACGCATCGTGATTGCCCAGATGCAGATGGTTTCGTACAACGAGTTCCTCCCCAAGGTTATCGGTAAGGACTACATGCGGAAGTACGCCCTCGACTTCACCGGTCCCACAAAATACAATCCGGACATCAACCCTGGAATCATCAACGAATGGGGAGTAGCTGCCTACCGTTACGGTCACGCCACGATCCGGAACTCCTTCTGGGCGGTCGATCTCAAGGGTCGACTCGAGCGGGAAATTCCCATGCGGGACGCTTTCAACCGCGTTCTCAACTTCTACAACCCGCTGGAAAACGATAAGATCATGCTCGGCTTCTCCGTTCAGCCCATGAAGAAATTCGGACCTTCTTTCGTCACCGGCGTCACGAACGACCTGTACCGACCTTTGAACAGCTCCTTCGGAATGGACCTTCCCGCGATCAACACGCAGCGAGGCCGTGATCACGGAATTCCAGGATACACTAACTACCTCAAGTTGTGTTCAGGACTCGACGTCCACTCGTGGGAAGATCTGGCGGCAATCCTCAAGCCGAAATGCGCAATCGCTCTCCGGGATCTTTACGCGTGAGTCAATTGCTCTAATCGGTGATCCTCGATTCAATTTTCTTGTGACAGAAGATCGGATATTCCCACGGAATCAATTCTTTCGCAGTGCACCCCAAGATGTCGACCTTTTCATCGGCGGAGTTTGTGAAACTCCTCTGCCCGGCGCCATCGTTGGCCCTACATTCGGATGCATTATTGGAACGCAGTTCCACAACGTGCGATACGGAGACCGATTCTTCTTCACTCACCAGGGAGAGCACACCTCGTTCACGCCCGAACAACTGCGCTCTTTGTTGGAGTCGACGCTCTATGCAAAGATCATTTGCGACACCTCGGAGGGCATTAAGAACATTCACGAAGACGTCTTCACGCAGATTTCTGAACAGTAAGTCGCGACGCGGAGAAATTCCCTCCCAGATCGTTGCGAGTTCTCAATCATACGGCACGTATTATAACTTCAGTCTAACGCCCCTGCCCTCCTCCGCAGCAATCCCATCAACCCGTGCAGCAGCTACCCTAGCCTGGACCTTTCACCCTGGGACTAGAGCCAATGTCTCCGCTAGAGACCTCCCGTTCGACCCGGTCGCCATACGGTCTACGAGTTAGTTGTAAAGTTGCTGTTATTTTGTTACAAAAATGCATACGAACTCAAATATCAATTGTGGGCTACGAACGATGAGACCTGTAATCTGTTGTTGAGGTGTCCGGCGCACATGGAAACGTCGATGCGAATCAAGCTCGTATCCCGCTTCTTTCGGAGGGTACAAACGAATTTTGGAATGTCGAATCGAAAATTCGTTTGGTACCATGTAAATACATCACTTCAGACAGAGAGGATGGAGTCCCCCCCCCCCTCCGTAGCCCCCATAACGAGTGCCAGTCTAACCAACAGGATGATTGTAATGGGATTTTATTTATGAAGAAAAAATAAAAGCTGTAATTTTACATCCGACAATAGCTTTGACCGCATCTTCCCTAATAATCACAGGGGCCATGGCGAATTCAATGAGCCGCTTCGGGAATGAATCGGGGACAGTCGGGGACGAGCGCGAGTTCTTACCGAATCGAATCTCTACGGAATCTAGGTGACGGGATCCTCACCGAGCCTCTTATCCCGCCGAAGGATGACCACTCTCCCGCAAGGTTCTGATCGAGGGGCATACCCGTCTGTTTTTCGACCTGTCGGAACCTGACCCTCAATCGACGGTCATCTATTCCGTATCTCGGCAAGGGAGTCCTGATCGATTTCACCTGCTTGCAAATAATGTTGATATACCGTATTCTCCCTAAAAAAGGGGCACCCCGGCTCTGACTCTGATTTCCCGACAAATCTGTCTATAGTGAGCTCGCGCAACGATCCGTCGGTCCTCCCCGTGCCAGATGTCGGAACTTCGCAATGCGAGCTGAGCGGTTGCGCTACCTCGCTCAGGAACGATTCGCAGGAGCATCTAAGTAAGAGTTCGGAGTGCCCCTCTATTGGAAAGAATACGGTGATCAGGCAAAACAAACAGAGCATACAGAAAACTTAAACTCAGACGAACGAGCTGCGAAGGAATTTTCCCACTGTACACGACTCGGGTCCCCGAATCTGAACCCTCAGATGTTTCAGTTCATTAGGGACAGTCCGTATGGAAGAGACTTTCCTCCTTTCAGAATATTCACGGCACATTGAATCGGTATCGGGGCTCGTCATTGGTCGAATGAGGCTAATTCTTGCGGCTCAACAACTGCCCAACGACGTGTTCCGCATCAAGTCGCCTTCTGCTCTCGCTATCCGCGAGCTTTTTTTCGATATGACTGATACCAAGCTTCTCAAAGGAAGGTTATGGGAAGATATCATCCCGAACTTCGATATTAGGATATGTGCACTGCACCCATACATACCTATGTATGTTATCCCGAGGAAAAATTCTCTTATCAACAAGAGAGAGCCTCCATGAGAAAAAATGATGAAGCTCTCCAAGCGAGGGAGGGAAGCAAACCATGAAAAGCGTGATAGGATCCGAGCTGATCTCGGATTTCTCCCCTAGCGAGATCTCGAGAAACTCCCAACCCCGTGGGGGAAAATCTGACTAGCCCAGGCTCTCTGGTTTCGATCGCTTCTATCGACCGATCCCTTTCTCTCACGACTTGCCGATTTGAGAGATCTTCACCAATCATCCCATCGTGAAGTATTTCGAGTTGGAAAGTATTCGATGTCGAACCTGCGCATCTCTCGGGTTTCCCACACTGTCAGCCAGCGACGCAAACCATCAGAGCAATCCGCACGTGCAGGTGAATGGAAGCGAAATAAAAAGACAAGCCTCCTGAATGATCCCGACGGTCTCTGGTACCGGATGGATTTTCTTCCAGAAGATTTTCATCGCGAGACTCCAGCGCAGAGCGGATTCATACACTCCTCAGCCTGGAGTCACGCAATCTCCATCCGGTGGAAAAGCCTCAGCGGGTCAGTTCTCTCACTGAGTCAGCCGATTGCTGACACGGCCGGAATCTTCGCTATAGAATAATCGGATCCCATATAAGAACCTATCAGAATCTCCGGGCTATGACGATATGGTAGCATCGACATGCCTCGAGAGAATGCCAAAAAGCCTCATATGAAGGGAAAATTCGACATGAATCAAGCTGCATCGAAAGAAATCTCGGTATGTAAATTGAAAAGCGGAGGGTATGAACACCGTCACTCGCTCTCAGCTGATAGGGGCCAAGCTCTTTCGGCGGTTTTCCTTCCGCTTCCGAAGCTCGGACGAGTATCAGTATCGGCGTGTGCCATCCGGAAGGCTCCGGATTGCGCGGTAAACCTCGCTATCATCTCCATCAGGGCATGAGCACCATCACATCCTTGAGCTCGATATCGGCGCCAATGATTTCGGGAGTGTGTATCGAGGAACCTTGCTTGACCCTCCGCGCACGGTGCTCCCCTGGATGTTTCCGCATTCCGTTTCCAAAACCTTCCGCTCCTGTCGGTTGAAGCAATCGATAGCCATAAGAGCATTAACCGCATCGAAAGTGACTGTGGTCAACTGCGTGACACCGCACAGCAGTGGCGGCGTCCTTGGAGACTGTTTCGCTTTTGACACTCGAAACTCAAGCCCGACTGCTGCCAGCGAAAGCGAATCGACGGGCAGCTCAGTTGGTGTATATGGTTCCGTCAGACTCCGAGGGAATGCTCCCTCATTGTAACAGGAATACCGAAACAGTCTCCGAAACGGGTCAGAGTTGCAAACCCGCGGTCCCTCCTCAGGATGCCCATTGTTCAGATGGGAATGAATTTCTAGCAGAAATGATTCTCTGTGAGGGAAGAGGCGCAGGTAATGACCATGAAAAAAAAGGTATAAATTTCCGAGCTCTCCCTCAGTTGCCTGACTCTTGGTAAGACGTCATGAAAACTCGAGCTGACGACGTCACTCCATGTGACGACCCAAAAAGAAATTCCTTATTCATAGACAGAATAAGTTTATTTGCACAGCATTCTTACCTAGGGCTAACGCTAGATGTTTACCTACCGATCATCACTGTCATCAAAACGCAGGCACTCAATTCCAGCGAAGGCACTCATCATCACCCTCCGTCAGCTAGGACACGAGAGCGCTAAGAGATTCGAAAACAATTTCGTCCGCACCCCATGGCGTTAAACGGGCGACATATATTTGAAGTAGAACGAGAAAACATTGACGACCAAGCGGGAGAGTCCCTGCACTCTGGGATTGTGAACGCTCTCGATGGGAATGTAGAAAATGCTGTCGTCACCGCAATTTTCATGCTTGATTTTACAGTCGATCGGTTCGAGCGTTTTTTTTGACAAGCAGAAACGGACTTCGGTGAGAACTGGGTAAGAGTAGCCCTCGGCCTTGCGACAGACAATATTAGCGTTTGTCGTGAGATCCGTTTTCAATGCCTTCAATACGTCGCTCACTTTGTACGCGGTTGTTTCGGACGGCTTGATTTCGCTGTCCAGGAAGAAATTGCTCACGTTGTATGTCCTCAAGAGATTCAGTGTGCCGTTAAAGTAATCCAGCACCCCGGATAAGGGCGGATTCGACATCGCGCAGCTGCCATGTTTGTGCCACTCGTGGCTCCAGAAATACTCGGGGTTCACCCCGATTACCGACGGCCAATATTTATTCAAATCGGACCGGATAGGGTCCAATACTTTGATGTCGAACTTGACCGTGAGGTTACAGCTCTCCGGCCACGTTGTCGCGTTACTCGGCCAGAGACCGTGGATTGTGAAGAATGGCCGGAGCTGCGACTTCTTGCAATGACCGTGAGCGAGACAATATCCACTGGATGTTTGCTGACTAAACAGAAGGAATTCGAAGTTTGGATCATGAGACACTTGGTGTATCTGAACGTTCTCGTGAAGAGACGCAGTGAGTAAGGCAATCACACAGAGAATCGCAAACCATCGGTACGAGCCCCTCGAGGGTTCACGGTTGGGCAAAGCCCGGTACTCCAGACTCGAAGTTGAAGTTGTCTGATTCATGGTGAGCAGAAGGTTACCTGTTTCAGAGAAGAAGCATGTTAGAAAGAGTCGAGATCATGTAATTCGGGAGGACCGAAAGTTTGAGCTCATGAGAGATGAATTCACGGTAAGGAATATCGATAGCAAGCGACTCGTCATCCGAGAGCATTGTAATTCGAGCGCCGACCCGAGTCTGAGCGTAATCCTATCCCAAGAGTGAATGAATTCCCGAGTACCGCCCCGAAATGCGTAAGGTCTGGAATTTCTGAATTAAGGCTCGTTCCGCAGCCGGACGAAAGCGCACGATAACTCCGCCTACCACCGGACAGCCACGACAGGAGCTTCCAATTGAGTCCAAAGAAAATAAACATTTCCAGCGCTCCCCAGCTTCTTACGAGCCCATTGTGAGATTGAACTTGAATCAGCTCACGGCTGCGCTCCGCCACCGACATCCGAAACGACCAATAGGTTCAATGTTTCAGTACGGATTGTTTATAGTGGTCGAGTTACGGGGAATAAGCAACCTTTGATCGAAGCAAACGAATCTGCAGTTTACTGAGCAGCACTTACGGGGAGCGATAGTACTGTTTGACCGCCGAGAAGGTTCACGGCAAAAACTCTCCAAAATGACGACAACCACTGATTTCGGAGACGCACACGATAGATACCGAAAAAACGCTCCCTTGGAGGTAAACAAGCGTACCGTGAATGCTTCTCGACGCCTTAAAACCGGATGGATGAAATTCAGAAACTCCTCTCAATTACCTTGATGTCAATTGCTTTGTTTGAGTCGAGAGCGGCCGCCGCTCGAAAGTAGAGCACTCGAACACGGCTCACGACTCGACGCCTCGGAGCGAAACTCGAAGCTGCGGTGCCGAGCTCTTCGAGGAAACCGATGATCACGGGGAAGGTGCTCACTAGAGTTCGAATCTACGAGAAAGTCATATTCGCTCTCAGGTTCAGCGTTTCTTGACTCATCGTGTCGTGAGAATCCGAACGTTCGTTCATCATTCGCTGAACCTTCGTCATTGCCGTCGCCTCGACGTATGAAGAAAAGAATCAACAGCGTTGGAAACCAGCCAGCCAAGCTAGCTTGCCCGAACGGCGGACTGCAGGCCGCTTGACAATCGATGAAACTCCGTCGTCCAGTAGCGTCACTGAGAGATTTGCGATGGCGACCGAAGGATGGAATTCACTCCGACGATATTCGAAAAGTAGCAGCAACGCAGTCTTTGGACCGAGCAAGAGAACACAAGGTCGCCTGTTTTCTGAACAGATCGCTGTTGACGCCAAGGGAAGAAACGCTATCACTCGGAGCGATACATCACCCGCTCAGCGAATCCAGATGGCGGTAACACCGGAGTAGCCAGCACACAAGTACAGTACACAAGTCCTGCCGGTTTCTCGTTTCGTCTCTGAATCGATGGGGTCAACCTACATTGAGTCCTGCCCACGGTAACATCGCACTAGACGTTGGCGCCACAGCCGACTGCTTCCGAGCGAGTCGATTGCGCAGGTAGAGTCGGTTCTGAGGAGTCAATTCCGAAGTTTGCGGGAGCAGATCATGGACGACTCTGTGTTCGCAACGCAAAAGCTAGTCCGCCGCTACCTCAACGCGGCGGCGCTTCGTATTCGGAGGCAACAGCTGATGTGAGCGGTCTTTACTCGCTGTTTGCAACGCGTCGCATTCGGTAGAGACCCGTCAGATGGCGCCACCTGGGCCGGGCTCACGAACGCGGAGTCGCTTCCCGAAGCTCGGCCGACCGCATCTGTTGGTCAGAGCCTCGCCGCGAGTCACCTTCGAGCGTTCAACTCGGAGCCCAGAATTGGGAGATTCGAAAGGGTACATGTAACTGATCGAAGATCTCAGCTTTGTAATCTCTCGGCTCAGGGCTGATCCATGCGGCGATCGAGGAAACAGGGGAGAAACGATGGGGATGGGACAGAATAAGCACATTGGGGACGATCGCGAAGGATGCGAAACCTTCGAAGGCACCTACTATAATTTCTTTCCGGCTGTCGAGATCCGCTCTGCCGATCGAAACACCCCCCGCCCCCGATTATCTCGCACTCAGGAAGCCTGTCGGAAGCCTCCATTGGTTGATCGCGGGCTGAAGACCTTTAGGGACCACCATGTCAAATGCCCACCGGTCGTTTTTTGGTTTCTGGGTTGGCGAGGGCGGGCTCGCCGGAGATCGACACACTCAGAAGAGGAAATCCATCCCGCTCGCTCTCATTCAATGTTCCGCCGAGCGATAAAGCTGCCGGCAATCTCGTTGCCTCCGATTCCACCGACACGAAAAAACGGCATTATTTATTATTGGGCAAAGCGGGAGCTGAGGGAGAAAAATTGCCGCGCTTGCGATATAGCTCGGCGGCTGGAATCGAGCCCTGCTCACTTGTCTTCAAGTTTCGGGGTAAATTCGAGGCGGCGAGATGTGATCACCGAACACGGTCGCGCCGTAATCGATATCGAGGACAAATTGTGCGTCGGAATCCGGGACGAAGTTTACCCTCTACCCGTCTTCGAGGCTTGTCCTCGGCTTGTTGCTTCACGGAATGAGATTCTCTGCGGAAAAAATACGATGAGTGGTTTTGCCGCCTGACGGAAGATATATCTCGCGGAGGCCGGGAGATACAAAGAAGAGTCACCCACCTTGCTTTTCAACCATGAATCACTGAGTTTGAGTTTCACGAGCTTCCTTCCGGGGGCTTATGATCCTCCGACGCGGCGCGGTAGGAAATTACCCGTCGAACGTAGTCATGAGTCATGAGGCATAGGCCTGAGATCATGAACATGATCTTCGAAATGTCGCGGCTTGCTCCATGAGCACAGGACTCCCTACGGAGCTGGATCCTGTGGAGGCCTACTCTCCGCTTCGGCGCGACGCGGTGAGTGCAGTTGTTCCCCAAAAGTTCCGCTATGCGTTACCTTCCCCAGAACGAACCGAGCGTAACGATCGCGACAAATTACTCCAGCCAAGGAAACGTATGACTCCGGGAGCAGCGCACGGAGCGCGTACGTGTAGCGGCAAGCCCCGAACAGTTCATATGTCGTTATTAGCCAAGGCATGTTTGCGGTCCGGGAAGAGAATACTCGTTTCTTCCGTTTCCCACGAAAATCCTCACCACGCAGCGCACGCTTCCTCAGGGTGGTTTTCTGTTACCCTCGGAGAAGCATTCACAATTATTCAGTCTGATAATTATCATAGCTGTTCGGTCGGAATTGTTCACGGACAACCGAAACGGAGGTGTCAAGGACCGAAGCGGTCGATCGATCACGCGTTTCTGTTCTGAACGAGATCCGAATCCGCACTGGTCGATCAGGGAGCCAAGATGTTGACGTCAGCGCTCCGCTCTCCGGAAGTCTCCTCTACCCTTCCACGGACGAACTCTCTGCTCCATTCGCTTCCATTGTGGCAACTCCCAGCCGAGAAAAAATCCCCAAATATCAACACTTAGCGACAGAAACCTCAAGAGGCTCTCCGCCAACTCCTCGGGGAAATGACGAGTTCTAACGAAGTGTGAGAATGGATGATGGCAGTCCGTCTTGCTTTTGCGCATCGTCTGCTTCCCTTGTTGCGGAAACGAACGCTGCACTTGCATCCGACGGGGCAGTCGGAGCCGGTCCGAACATCCACTCGACTTCTCAGACAGAGCAGAGGACGTTGGAGCACCAGATGTGTGATGATGATGTCCACACACTTATCGCAGAAAAACGAGGATGCACGTATATTCAGAAAGCTTCTCGCACCACGTGATCGAAGGGCCTTGCGGAAATTCCTCTCGGGCCCGTGATGAGTTGGTGTCCTATTCGCCGGATTTTATGCGCCCAATGCAGCGTATGGAAGTCGCCTGTCCAAAGTTTTGCAGCGATGAATGAGCGTCGCATCCGGGTGATTTTCCAACAACTCGTGTTGCACCTCGTTAGATCGCAAGTACTCCGCTGGCCTACCGTAGGGAGAGGACTAGGACGGAATCGATAGCGGCTGTTCCTGCAGAGTTTCCTGTTTCGGGTTTCCACCGGGGACATAAAGCACGTGTATTCTCCTTTGTTGAGAATTCCGGTGAGATTTCGCTTGATTCTGGCTCAGGTCCCTTGCCCCGATCGGAACCGATTCCGACACGAGTACTGCCCTCGCCAGTTAGTCAATCGACTCTCATACAAAGAGATCCATCAACGAAGCGAGCGTATTATTATCGATCAGGCTCATTGAGAGCGAGCATCTGAGCGAGCACTCATCATGCGTCCATAAGGAACAATGCCGCACGTCGTGAATAGACGACCAGGATGATGAACTCCCCAATCAGTGTGTCGTACGAGAAGCTCCGACGGGACTGTTCGAATCATCTGATCCGCAATAGATGAGCTCCAGTGAGAATACTCCACTCTACAAACATTCGACAATTTCTCGGGCGCATGCTCGAACATTGGATTTCTGAAGAGAAGGATTCCTCCAGGGTCGTAGCGTGGGGAATTCTCCGCTCAGTGGATCCAGGGTGGAACTCAATCAGAAGTGCGGGTCGGATCCGCAAATCACGCTCGCTGCCTCTCTATCGGAAGTCTGGCAGCCGCGCGAGAGTGGAATAGGGAACGTTCGTCCGGTCATTCCCCCCATCTAGTACATCGTGGAGCCTTAGACGCTTTTGACTATGGGGAGTCATCGGAGGACAACCATTTGTCGCATTTGATGGGTCGCAGATATTTGATTCAATGAGACGCGGAGAGTCTCCTGGCTGAGTTCCCCAGCTCAGGTTGCAAGCTCTGCGAGGGAGCACGCGGCGCTTCCTCGCCCGTCCCGTTCGCGAGTGTGAATCAAGGACATCGTTCCCGAGTCGGTCGACCGCCCAGAGTCCATCCGGACGTTGGTGTTCGACTACGAATCGAGGGATTAGGTGCAAAAAACCGGAGCTCCAGCGTTTCCCGGAACCAATCAGCAATCAGAGGTTTTCCTTCCGTTTCGCGGCGACGCGCTCGCCGCAGACCTCCAAAACGAAATGTCCAAGCAGGTCGGGGGCTCGGAGTCTTGGCAGCCCTGATCGGAATCTGACTTCGATGGCGATCGAGGAAGGAAGGGAGGACGGAACAAACAAACAGGAAGTCGGGCTCGAACAAAGCGGGCTAGAATGATCAAGCGAGCGCACTCCTCCTTCGGATGGAGTTGCCGCTAGATTTCAGCGAAGGATTTGCGTAGTGAGGCGCCGACTTTTTCAACAACGGTGAGATTCTCCATGGACCTATGATACGAGAACGTTCGACCGGTGACCCTTCAACGTCCGGGCGCCGCCACTATCTAACGGGGACTCGCGGAATCTGACGGGACGTAGATCGACCGATCCTGCGGAGAAAAATAGAAAGCCAGGAATGATTCTCTTGTGGAGCCTAGGTGGTGATTAATGAACTCAACTCTCGTGTACTGAGAGCGTATAAGTGATACGACGATGTTATACGACCTCCATACTTATCGCTCGAGAGCTCTCGGAGAATTGCGCGTTTACGATGCTGACGTCACTAATAATAAATGATGTGGCCGCAAGTTCAGACTGTGCCCGTATCGGGTATCGGAAACAGCTGCTTAGCTTGCTTGATAAAATATTAGCCGAATTTCGCGGTGCGAAGCATCCTTAGCTGCGAAGAGCTGGGTCGGGGAATTTAGTACGAATAGCTCCTTGCGATTTCGGTCTTCAGCAAAAGTGCCGTTGCCGCATTTTCCGTATTCGTGGGCGGTTATGTAGCGTGACGCTTAGAGTGGCCTCACAATTTTTCAGTCACGCTCCAAGTATACCGTAGGTGTTTCCATTCGGAGAGGTCGAAAGTATGATTCGTTTCGAGATTCACGGAGTTTTGCCAAGCCAAATACCTACCTACTGCGATCTCGCAAGAGCGGTGCAAGGTGTTCCCAGCGTCCCGAGTCGAGAGTTCAGTTTTGGCTTCCCGACTCCAGAGAATGTTC